AGGATGTGACGTGTGCTGCATGGGATTCCATTACATTGGCGCAAAGGAGTCTTAAACATGGTGCACCCAGTAAAGAGGGTTAATCAAGGGGTAATATTATCTTCTCTGGAACTTCCTTGCATGTTAAACCAGAGCTAAGGGGACAGAAGTCAAGGTTTTCATCCCCTATCCCCAAAAGAATTACTATAACTTTTTTTTCCTTTGAAATCCAGTGTTTAGTACATGCATCTTAATATAATTATTCCCATTTTTTTGTAGAATAGGTTTATTTATCTGAGCAATAATTTTTGTCTGAATTGACTTCAATGGTTTGATCTCCGCTGAGTTGTGTTGGTGCTTTAGCGATGGTGTGATGTACAGAAAGCTACAGGGGTGGATGGTTCACTGCTGTGGAGTCGAAATACAGCAGGCCGAAGGAAAAAGTCTCTGCTGACATGTACATCCACAGCATGTGAGCTGGTAAATGTGACTGTGGGAAGGACTGGGGGGTAGCTGAAGATGTTACAAGTTTATATTGTGGAATAAAGCCCTTTTGTTCTATGGAGAAGTCTCGTGCATTGACTTGAACATGGTAGAAAGAAACCACTAGATGTCCTCGTAATCATTATAAGGGACCATCAGACTTTTTACACTCATTTATTCTTTACACCCAGAGTAAATTTAGCTGAATCATTTGCAACCCATGTCTTATGAAACACAGTTTTTACTATAGTTGTATTGTTTGTAATGAAAGTGTTGTCCTGGTCTCCTGGTCTCAGCTGAAACATAATTTCACAAAACCAGTTTAAAGCTACACATTCAGAGTTCTCTCCTGACAGCTGGACACCTGGTGACTGCAGTGGACCAGACCATATTGAATGGCAGTTTCCCCAATTTTGCCAATGATCGTGTTCTGAACAAACTATTGCCTCAATGTCACTTATCCACCAGAACTGGGAGCAACTCTGGAATTGTTGCAGAGGTAAAACTTTATTATGTGGCAGGTGTGCTCTTAAATTTCATGTTAGTGTACTGTAATCTAAAAGTTTTGTGTACAAGCTGTTCCCACTAAATCTTTGAGTAGAGTGAGCGAAATGGGATTCAGCTGAATAATGAAAATGTTTACGTTATGACACATCATTTTGTTTGTGTTTAATAAACATAAAACATTCAGCAACCTGGTAATTTTATGTCATAAAACATATTCCCTGTTCATATGACATGGAAATAAATGCTCAAAAAACTAATTATTTTGTTGTGTGAATTTCCAGTCAGACGAAGCCGCAGTTAGTTTGTCTGGTGCACTCATAACCTTCATGTTACTGTTCTGTTATAAACTGAAGTTTTGTGTGTAAGTTCTTTGACGATGTGATTTCTTTAAAGACTCAGCTTTTATCTACTTCTCACTGAAGGGGGAGCCAACAGCCAGCAGAGGGAGAAGAGGAAGCCCGAAGATGACAAACATGGTGGAAGTTTATGACTGCTGAGACACTTCAATGATACTGCCACACACTGAATGCTCACTCCACTGACTCCACTGACATCCTTGTATGTATGGTGAATGACGTGGCAGAGAAACACATGACTTTGATCAAAATTAAAATGGAAAACATTACTGGCATAGACAGGGACAAAGAAAGACTGAAAACCGAAACCGAAAGTAATAGGCCATTTTCACAGAAGATATACTGACATGTTATCAGTGGTGGAAAGCAAAGGAGTACATTTACTCAAGTATATTTCTGACGTACTTGTAGCTACTTGAATATTGAGGGACATATTGGGTTTTTTTAATCCACTACATTTGGATGACAACTTTATTTCCTTTGATGCTTACATGTGAATGCATCAGTAATAATAATATAAAGACGGAGCACAACAGAGGCCAATTTGCCTATAGAAAGCACTTTTACTTTTATACTCTTTATATTTTATTATCCCAAGTGGGAAACTTGATTTCTAGTCAGGGGTATGGATAAAAAAAAAAAGCAGATAAAAACAACACAAGTGCAATAATATACACAATAAAATAAAACACCAAACACTATAAAACATAGAACACTTTAAAATTACTATTTAAACGTGCATTTTGTTGATGAAACTTACATACTTTTACTTGAAATTGAGTATTTTTACTTTTACCTCAACAGAAGATCTGAATACTACCTGTACTGCAGTTCATGGTAGAAAATATTACCAAGGTCCAAGCTTCCTATATACAGGTGTGAATAACAAAATCAGTGTTGGTTGATTTCCATTTAGTTGCTTCAGTTTCAGGGTCCCTTTCTCGTGCATGCAGACTCACAGTCACACTGTCATGGCCTAATGTAGTTCATATTATCAGTAACACCTGCGGTTTTCTATGACAACCTTTTTGGCCTGTGACTTTTCATAAAAAAATAGCAGTGACTTAGGCCCCTCGTCACATTTCATAAGACATTTCCCCAGTAAACTTCTTATATGATTTCATTTAAATAACTGTTTCATTCCCAAAAGGTAAAAAAAAAGGCATAGAGAAAAGTCCAAAAACTGAACACAAATGAGTGTAGCAGAACTTTTTCTTCCTCTCCCTTCAGCATTAATCATCTTATGACCCCTCAGGTTAATCTTGTGACCATTTGAAGGTCAGGGACTAAACAACTATAAATATAGTAGTTGAAGCTCACTCCACTACATTCTCCAGTATATTATAATTTATCAGTCACAGCCTCAATCCTTTACCTTTTGCTTTTGATGCTTTAAGTACATTTTGCTTACAATGTTTCTGTACTTTTACTTAAGCAGGAATTTCCTTGCAGGACTTTTACTTGTATGGGAGAACTTTTTGCATTGTTGTATTGGTATGTTTACACAAGTAAGGATCTGAATACTTCTTCAGATCTGCAATGTCAATAATGGGCTTGTGTAAATCCCAATATGATCTTGTTACAACTATAATCAATGATTTATGAACAAATAGACAGCAGTCTAATCAATATGAAGTGCTGATTAAAAAAAAGGCATCAACAAGAAAAACTGTATTTTCATTCAACCATGAATGAAACAGGTCATCGTTTGTTGAGTGTTGATAACCTGTCATTTGCGTTATAAGTCTTTAAGTCTTTTTTTTTAGTCTTTGCCCTCAAATACAAATCTAAAACAGCACATTTTATTAGTCTGTTTTATTCTTTCAAAAAATACTCTAAAGATAAAAAATATTTACAACTCTCCTCCTCCTCCTATGTCGGACCTGTCCTTGTCTCATTTTGCACAGTAAAGCAGATTGGCTGAGATGATGAGAGAGCGGAGGGGAGAAACTACAGGGATCAGTTGTTGGACTCTGTTCAAACAGCATAATGAAAGCTTAGATCAGACAAAACCGATGTTATTTAATTATGTGAGAAACAATGAGGAGTACTCATCAAATCAATTGAATGGATTTTCATCATCACACATTGTGAATAAGAAGTAATAGATTACTGACAACGTCTGACTGATTTAGTGTAATTGGTCGACACATAAAGTGACTGCAGCTGTAAGGATATCAAAACAGTATGTTTTTTTTGTTTTTTTTTTTACAGCCAAAGCCTTATGGATTCTCCTCATATCATATACTGTATATTACGTCAGTTGATGACTCTTTTGTTTTGCAAGTTTGGCCTGAAGCTCAGTCACCAGTGTTGCGGTGAACTGGCAGGGATGTGGTGATATATCATATAACTTAACTTAGCCCCAGGACATATACAGACCCAAACAACCATGTAGGAGATAATCTTCTATAATACTCTCTAAGCAAACCTCATTGTAAAAGCATCACTGATCTTTTTTTGGAGTAACATTTGATTAAACAAGGTATAAAAAAGTTCACTACTGATTAATAACCATTAAAGATGCACGTGTTTAGTCCTTATTCAGCTATTGTGTATGCACGGGGCACAAAGAGAACAAGTGAGCATGTGTGGCTCTTCATAAGATGATCTGCAGTTTGTAAGAAAACAGAGCACACCCTCGAAACTGTATGCTGTATTTAATTCTATTTACTTTCCCACTATCTAAATTTAGGCCTGTCATTTACAACTTCCATATCTATGGTTTATGACAATGACTGTGGTGATGGCTCTTTAATTTGTTTGTCTGAATAAAGGCAGGAACATCTTGTTTGAGTAACATGGCAACACTGTCCTCAGTCCACACTGCATCAAATGATATTTGCAGTCATAAGTCATCTGATGATGAACAGCCTCTTGTCTGCGATGAACTCAACGTCCATATTTAGCCGGTTTAATGAGGAAGATATGCAGTAAGGGTAACTCACCTAATCCATTCAGTCACTGAGCCGTGACCAGCTGGGTGTCATGCTCTTTCATGTGGGCGTTTGTCATGCCAACAGTCACAGAGAATAGGCACACACACAGTGACAGAGGACATATGTAAATAGTGTGTGATCAACTGAAGATCATATTTAGACACTAAGGTGACACACCAACATAAATTAAATTAAAATTAAAGTAATTTTAGCTAACCAACTTGGAGAGGAGACCACACTCCACTCAGCTTATTGTAAAATGGGCTGGTACTGACTGAGGCTACTGTTTAGCAGGTATAATGTTTACCATGTTCACCATCTTCATCAGTTTAGCATGTCAGCATGCTAACATTTGGTATTTAGCACTAACCACAGAGTACAACTGAAGATGTCATTAGTTCTTTAGGTATTTGATCATAAACCAAAGTTTTGGACGATAATAATATTGAATCCGAAGTCGGAGGCATTATGTTTTCGGATTATCTCATGAAGGTGATATCTCTGATGAACTGATTAGATTTTGCTGCTTAAATCACAGTTTTGGCCTTGTGAACATGATATCTCAGTAACGACTGCTAAATATCAGTTTCATTTGGTGTTGTTTTTCAATTTTCAGGATGGTGTCAACGCCATGAGGGAAACCATGACTGGCTCAGAAAGAAAACGAAGGGCATCTGGAGAGGAAGGGTTTAGATGCAGAGCGCAGGCTGAAGCGACAAAAAACACTCTCACCAAAATGACAGAGAAAGAGATTAATAAGAAGAACCTTGCAAGCTGCAGACCGCCTCGACTCGTCCTCCCCACGCTGCGATTTTCCCAGCTGTCTGGACGGACTCTGATGAGGCACGTCTTGTGTCCAGCAGAGAGTGTCAAGCTGCCAGAGGGAGATGAGGTGAGAAAAATTGTCACTGCAAGGCACAATAAAACCTCGACATTACAGTTTATCCTACCCTGCAGGAGCAGACAGGTTTACCACCCAAATTAAATTCTTCAATGTTCTTGAGAAAATAACTATTGAACGTCATATTGTAGGTTAGTAAAATACATATTCTATGTGTTATTTGAAGGGAGTCCCTTAAAGATCCTTAATATAAATGACCTCTTTGGTTCTTCAAGAACGCACGGTTTAAGAAGGATCTTTATAGTGGCCACCATGAACAGGAGAATATGATTTACAGCAAAAACTGTTTCGAGAGTACATACGGGTATGGAAGACGAAATTTGGAAAAAACACTGTGAACCTATTCTTAAGATCATTTAAGAAACTGAACTTTCAAATAAAGAACTTTGATGACACTAAATTAACCATTTTAAAGTTGGATTGTAATCAGTATTTTTTGTACTTAACAAAACAAATAACAAGGATTCCACTTGCAGCAAAAGCACCCAAGAGACTTATTCACTGACTCTTTGCCGTTCCCCTTTACTGAGCCAGGTTCAATGTGTTTTCAGCTGGTTTGTTCAGAGTTTATATGGCGCATCTGTAACGTCACTGTTTTTTGGTTCCACTTCCCACTTGGATCTCATAGCTTTCGTTTTCAGCATAAAATGCTTTTAAAACCCACTGTTCACTACCTGCACTTCCACACAAACTGGCACCACACCAGAGTTCGAGACTCAGCTGGCGGAACACAAAGAGTTAGCGTGAGCATTTAGCAACTACCAGTTCACCTGTTTTCTTCAGAGTCTTCACGGATTGTGCGACCAGAATCAGACTTAAAAGAGAAGCTCGAACATTGGACTTAGTCTCAACTGAGGCGCCTTGAAAGACATAACTCTCTCAGTATGTGTACAGTAACCTCAACAGTTCACAATATCAACTTGTTTTTACAATTTTTTTCTTTTTTTTTTTTCCTGCTGCAGGAAAAATCTAGTTATATTCACGTTTAATGTTAATTCATACTCTGTCATAGTGAAACCATCTTCTGTGTGTTTTGCCTGCAGGTGGATTGGTTCAGTGTGACGGCAAGCTGTAACCAGTGGTTTCACCAAGTGGTGCGTTGGTGTACGAGCCTGAGAATGTGCGGAGAAAAGGAGGGTTACATTTGTGTAGTGTGTACACTGAACGACGGACACATGTAGGAAATAAATGGAAGAGAAAAGCGGGAGATTTTTCAGACAAGAATGGATCTGAAGAGCCTCTTGTCTCGTCAGCCCTGTTATGTGGAGCCACCAGTCTGGACTGTGATTCAATCTCTCTACCCCACCCCCCCACCCCCCACCCCCTCCTCACCCCTGTCTTGTCTGTCTGACCCTTTGTAACAACCGTATCTCCTCTTTGACTTGTTGCCAGAACCTATAATGTTAGTTATTTTTTGTATTTTTTACATATATATTATATATATATTTCTTCTTCTTTGAATTGTTTGTGGTTGTCTAAATGGAAAAAAAAAAAAACAAACCACAGGTGATGGACGTGTGCTGCATGGGATTCCATTACATTTGCGCAAAGGAGTCTTAAACATTGGTGCACCAGTAAAGAGGGTTAATCAAGGGGTAATATATATCTTCTCTGGAACTTCTTGCATGTGTAAACCAGAGCTAAAGGGGACAGAAAGTCAAGGTTTTCATCCCTATCCCCAAAAGAATTACTATAACTTTTTTTTCCTTTGAAATTCCAGTGTTTAGTACATGCATCTTAATTTAATTATTCCCATTTTTTTGTAGAATAGGTTTATTTATCTTGAGCAATAATTTTGTCTGAATTTGACTTTCAATGGTTTGATCTCCGCTGAGTCTGTGTTGGTGCTTTATCGGATTGGTGTGATGTACAGAAAAGCTACAGGGGTGGATGGTTCACTGCTGTGGAGTCGAAATACAGGCAGGCCGAAGGAAAAGTCTTGCTGACATGTACATCCACAGCATGTGAGCTGGTAAATGATACTGTGGGAAGGACTGGGGGTAGCTGAAGATGTTACAAGTTTATATTGTGGAAATAAAGCCCTTTTGTTCTATGGAGAAGTCTCGTGCATTGACTTGAACATTGGTAGAAAGAAACCACTAGATGTCCTCGTAATCATTATAAGGGACCATCAGACTTTTTTACACTCATTTATTCTTTTACACCCAGAGTAAATTTAGCTGAATCATTTGCCAACCCATGTCTTATGAAACACAGTTTTTACTATAGTTGTATTGTTTGTAATGAAAGTGTTGTTCCTGGTCTTCCTGGTCTCAGCTGAAACATAATTTCACAAAACCAGTTTAAAGCTACCATTCAGAGTTTCTCTCCTGACAGGCTGGACACCTGGTGACTGCAGTGGACCAACCATATTGAATGGCAGTTTTCCCCAATTTTGCCAATTGATCGTGTTCTGAACAAACTATTGCCTCAATGTCACTTATCCACCAGAACTGGGAGCAAACTCTGGAATTGTTGCAGAGGTAAAACTTTATTATGTGGCAGGTGTGCTCTTAAATTTCATGTTAGTGTACTGTAATCTAAAAGTTTTGTGTACAAGCTGTTCCCACTAAATCTTTGAGTAGAGTGAGCGAAATGGGATTCAGCTGAATAATGAAAATGTTTACGTTATGACACATCATTTTGTTTGTGTTTAATAAACAATAAAACATTCAGCAACCTGGTAATTTTATGTCATAAAAACAATTATTTCCCTGTTCATATGACATGGAAATAAATGCTCAAAAAACTATTATTTTGTTGTGTGAATTTCCAGTCAGACGAAGCCGCAGTTAGTTTGTCTGGTGCACTCATAACCTTCATGTTACTGTTTCTGTTATAAACTGAAGTTTTGTGTGTAAGTTCTTTGACGATGTGACTTTTCTTTAAAGACTCAGCTTTTATCTACTTCTCACTGAAGGGGGAGCCAACAGCCAGCAGAGGAGAAGAGGAAGCCCGAAGATGACAAACATGGTGGAAGTTTATGACTGCTGAGACACTTCAATGATACTGCCACACACTGAATGCTCACTCCACTGACTCCACTGACATCCTTGTATGTATGGTGAATGACGTGGCAGAGAAACACATGACTTTGATCAAAATTAAAATGGAAAACATTACTGGCATAGACAGGACAAAGAAGACTGAAAAACGAAACCGAAAGTATAGGCCATTTTCACAGAAGATATACTGACATGTTATCAGTGGTGGAAAGCAAAGGAAACATTTACTCAAGTATATTTCTGACGTACTTGTAGCTACTTGAATATTGAGGGACATATTGGGTTTTTTTAATCCACTACATTTAGATGACAACTTTATTTCCTTTGATGCTTACATGTGAATGCATCAGTAATAATAATATAAAGACGGAGCACAACAGAGGCCAATTTGCCTATAGAAAGCACTTTTACTTTTATTACTCTTTATATTTTATTATCCCAAGTGGGAAACTTGATTTCTAGTCAGGGGTATGGATAAAAAAAAAAAGCAGATAAAAACAACACAAGTGCAATAATATACACAATAAAATAAAACACCAAACACTATAAACATAGAACACTTTAAAATTACTATTTAAACGTGCATTTTGTTGATGAAACTTACATACTTTTACTTGAAATTGAGTATTTTTACTTTTACCTCAACAGAAGATCTGAATACTACCTGTACTGCAGGTTCATGGTAGAAAAATTACCAAGGTCCAAGTTCCTATATACAGGTGTGAAATAACAAAATCAGTGTTGGTTGATTTCCATTTAGTTGCTTCAGTTTCAGGGTCCCTTTCTCGTGCATGCAGACTCACAGTCACACTGTCATTGCCTAATGTAGTTCATATTATCAGTAACACCTGCGGTTTATTCTTTGTGTGGGTTGATTTGAAAGTGATTGCAACACTAAAACAATCCGCTTATTTCAGGCCAGTGGTTGCGTACTGATGGTGGACAGCCTCTCTGACATGGTGCTACGTGGACAAGCCGTTCAAGTCCACCTGGAACCTTTAGACAGGCTGGAGTCTTTAATGGTAGAAGTGCAGGAATGGAAAGAATCTGCAGCTACAACTTTTCTTCAGAAAGACTCAACTCTTACCTTGCTGGAGGTAAAATCCCACAAATTTGAAACGAATATTAAGACCATAAGGCTGTCATTGTTCAGCTCAGCTTATTTCTTACATCCACTGTATCCAGCTGCATCGTGTCCTAGTTATGTCCCGGCTCCTTCTGGATTTTAATCTGCACTGGAAAAGTTTAACCTGTTCTTCAGCCGCCACATTTCTAATAAAATTTAGAGCTGTTTCATCACCATTTGTGGTGTTTTACAAGAATATTGAACACACTTTTACATGTCGATGTGGTCACAGATCCTTAGTGGCTGTAGACAACCTAACTTTGTGATTACCCATTTTAAATGTCTGTAAAGCTGATCACACACCACATCTGCTTTCATACTCTAACAAACCTGTTATTATGTTAATTTTGTCAGATGACATCATTATGTATAATGAAATAAGGATCTGATGTGCACCGCATCAGCAAGTAGTGTGAAATGAGCCATGATTTAATCACTATTTCTTTCTGGTTCCTTTGTCCAACAACAGAAGCAGATAATAAGTAAATGAGAGCAACTAAGTCATGAGTTTGCCTATCTTAAAACAAAGTATGTGTTATCAAAGAAAGCAGGACGGGACAGAACAGAGGTTTTTCTATCTCCCTCCTTCCCTTTGCTTTTTTCCTTTCTTTCTCTCTCACTAATTACAAACACTGTATATTTGTTAAGACAAAGTCTGTATCAAAGGAAATGCATCATCAGATATTCATCTTAAGTCAGTTGCAAATAAATATAGCCAATACAAGTCAGTTTCAGGCTTCAGAGATGTTAGCTGTTTCAGCAAAAGTAGACCTGGTGTGTAAAGGTAGCAGAGCTGGTGGACATCTGCCTTTACTTCTCTGGGCCTGTTAGTGCAAAAGAAGCCTCACAGCTATTCTTTTCATCACAGGTTCTGTGTCCAAGATGTGAAGTTGGAAATGTACGCTCTCCAAAGAGGAAGGCCAAGAAAGGGAAAGAATCACCTAAAAGTAACAAAAAGAAAACGCTGAGGCTCAACACTCTCACTGAAGTGGAAAAAGCGCTTTCAGAGACCAAGGATTCTACCTCTGCGGTAAGTGTGGCCATTCCAGCAGTTGCCTTCAAACACAAATATATAAGGGACTATGTGAGTAGATGTAATTGCCAAACTAACACTGACTTGTTCTCAATCTGCCTTCATTTTGTTCACCAGATGGCAACTCTGGAGGAGCTGCAGGTTCGGGAGATGGAGGCTTTCTCTAATCTCAGGGCAGCAAATGAGTCAAAGCTCCTTCCCACAGCAGACTGCATGGACCTAAAGGTGTGTGTCTGTCAGAAGGCGCCCATGGGTGCGATGCTGCAGTGTGAACTCTGCAGGGATGCCTTCCACAGTGTGTGTGTCAGAGAGGCATCAGACTCCTGCGAAACACAGCCATGGCTCTGTCCGTATTGCCAGCGATCAGAAAAACCACCCTTGAACAAAGTCCTCTCCCTGCTATCGTCTCTGCGGCGCATTGGAGTGCGCCTGCCGGAGGGCGACGCTCTGCACCACCTGGTTGAGAGGACAGTTAACTGGCAGCACCGAACACAGCAGATCTCACAGACATGTAACCTACCAGAGCTGGAAGAGAGACCAGGAACTCCTCCCACCCTGACATGCTGGGTTTCAGGCAGCAATGACACTCACAACAACACTCAGGTGCCTCATCATCAGCTTGTGTCACTGTTTTTGCAGTTCAGTGAAAATGTATTATTTGCAGATGTTAACTGTAAGATTTGATGTGTGTGTTACAGGCTCCTTGCTTGACTCCAGAGTGGAATAGGACAAGCCATTCTCAGACTGTCTTCTACACCGAACAGAGATGCATACCACTGCAGGGTCTGTGTCATTATATTCTGAGCTGCAGTAGTGACTAAATGAAGAAAACTCTTTCTGTAGATAGTTTGAAAACATGAGTTGTGGTTAATTGTTCATTTTAGATTAGTATTGTTTATATTCTGGGTGTTTTTCTGTGTGACAGGCTTGAGTCAGGAGCTGGAGGAGCTGATGGTGGAGGGGCTCCTGCTGCAGGTGTCTCTGCCAGAGGTTCAGAGCCTCTACCACATTTTACTGGACAGAGCCACAAGCGAGCACATAAACAGATGCATGTTGCCACCACAGGACGAGTCCACAGACTGTGACAAACACATGCAGTTTAACTCTCAGGGAAAAAATCTGCCACTGGACCAGGTACAAACAAAGAGAATCTATGAAAACACATAACATAATAACTGCCTCAATATCAGTTTTCATTTGTGTTGTTTTTATTTTCAGGATGGTGTCAACGCCATGAGGGAAACCATGACTGGCTCAGAAAAGAAAACGAAGCGGCATCTGGAGAGGGAAGGTTTAGATGCAGAGCGCAGGCTGAAGGACAAAAAACACTCTCACAAAAGACAGAAGATGAATAAGAAGAACCTGCAGCGCAGACCAGCCTCGACCTCGTCCTCCCCACGCTCGGATTTCTCCCAGTCTGACGACTCTGATGAGGAGATGGCTGTGTGTCCAGCAGAGAGGTGTCAGCTGCCAGAGGGAGATGAGGTGAGAAAAATGTCACTGCAAGGGCACAATAAAACCTCTGACATACAGTTTATCTCTACCCTGCAGGACAGGACAGTTTACCACCCAAAATAAATTCATGTTCTTGAGAAATAATTGAACGTCATATTGTAGGTAGTAAATTACATTCTATGTGTTATTTGAAGAGTCCTTAAAAGTCCTTAATATAAATGACCTCTTTGTTTCAAGAAGCAGGTTAAGAAGGATCTTTTAATGGCCAGCATGAACAGGAGAAATGATTACAGCAAAAACTGTTTGAGAGTACATACGGGTATGAAGACGAATTTGAAAAAACTGTGAACCTATTCTTTAAGATCATTTAAGAAACTGAACTTTCAAATAAAGAACTTGATGACACTAAATTAACCATTTAAAGTGGATGTAATCAGTATTTTTATATTAACAACAAATAACAAGGATCCACTTGCAGCAAAGCACCCAAAGAGACTTATCACTCGACTCTGCCGTTCCCCTCATACTGAGCAGTTCAATGTGTTTCAGCTGTTGTTCAGCAGTTTTATGGCGCTGTAACGTCACTGTTTTGGTTCACTCCCACTGATCTCATAGCTTCGTTTTCAGCATAAAAGCTTTTAAAACCCACTGTTCACTACCTGCTCCACACCAAACGGCACCACACAGAGTTCGAGACTAGCTGGCGAACAAAGAGTAGCGGAGCATTTAGCAACTACAGTCACATGTTTTCTTCAGGAGTTGGTGGCGACCAGAATCAGAGCTAAAAGAGAGTGAACATTGGACTTAGATTCATGAGGCGGCCTGAAACTTAACTCTCTGGATGTGTAAATAAACAGCTCAACAGTTCACAATATCAACTTGTTTACAATTTTTTTTTTTTTTTTT